GTGTATGTTATTGCTATTGAGATTTCCATTTTATTGATATATTATTTATTAGGGAGCCACTGTTATTCGTCTTTTTTTGTATATAAGTGGTTGAATCTTCTCTTCAGCGTGAAAAAAAGCTTCAAAAAAGGCAAAATTAAGCGTGACGTCGTGACTACATTTGTACATTGTGCATTGTGCATCGAAATATCATTTATTTTTTCGACGTGTTTAGATATAGAAGATACACTTGAATGATTTATTCAGCAAAAACGAATCTTTGACCCCCTATAACATTTATATAATCAAACGGAATAATTACTAATAACATATCATTTTGAAAATTCGTATGACTGATTTTTGAGAAAAGGCAATTTAATATCGAATGCTTTCGTATTTCTGCGATACTTACGTTCATTTTATACATTTGTACCTTTTTCTACAGAATATTCATTAGCTCGAAAGAAATTTCTTCCAACCAACTAACTGCCACAAGTATTATATTTCAGGCCTAAGTATGATATAAGAAATGTCTTCCGATTAACTTACTGCTCCAAGGATTTTATTTTATATCAAATAAAAGAAATTTCTTCCATTAAACTGACTGTACTCCTTTTAAGGTCTGATAAAAGAAATTACTGACATGGAATGTTGTTTCTTACAGAGAAGAAATTTCTTCTAACCGTTGAAGTTATCAAAAACAGTTTATAAAAATTGGAAAACAGTTGATGTATTTGCACTTTTTTGGATAAATTTATGGATTTTGCATATTGCAGTCCGCAAAGAGGAAATTCCTGGATTGTCTTTCAATTTGCTATATCTCCAAAAGTATAAAAGTTACTCCGATATTTTTTTTCGAAATTCATATGCAGTTCAACATGCTATAGTTGCCTGCAAAATTAAATGAAAATCCGTGAGATCGCTCAATTACGTACCTGTTACCTTAACAATGTTTTGTTTTAAGTCTTCGCTCTATAATTTACGTTTGAACTGAAGTAAGGAATCTGAAGTTTTACCTTTACTAGACTGGTACCAGGTCGTTAATTGACAAGTTTGACAATACTTATATTTGTATATTACGAATTTTGTAGGCACACTAAATATTTTACGGAGGGAAACCACTATCGTGTACTTGGCTGGGGGACTATGGTAAGAACCAAGTAACGAGTCGACAAATAAACTGTACTTCACACTTTACTTCTTTCAATTTTTAATACCAGGCCATGCTACTGCACTGGCAGACGACAACTAACTTAATAATTAATAGCTAAAAACATGTTCCACCTTTTCCGACATAAGAGATAAATTGTGTGAGGCAGTCCCGATAACCAGAAGACCCAAAATAGGAATATAACACCACAATTTTACTAACATGATAAACACTTCATAAATAAATAATCAAATACAGTGAAACCTGTTTTAAGAGACCAATAAGGGGAGACAACAAAAGTGGTCTCATAAGACAGGTGGTCTTTTACTACAGGTTCAATCTATTTGAAATGCACTACAGAGGGACCTTAAATTAATGGTCTTATAACACAGATTATTGCTTAATACAGGTGGTCTCTGAAGCAGGTTTGACTGTATAATAGTCTTCAGCTGGGAGACAACTCGTTTGTGTTGTACCTTATTACTTTGAAGGAAAAAAAACTTTATCATGTTTTGGTTGGATAGTGCTAGCTTGCCGAAATGTATTTTCTTTTTTCTGCACTCGGCGGATTTTATAACTATACGATGATCTAAGTGTTGTTAGTCTGTCAAGCTAAGTTCGGTTGTAAACGCAAAACAATGACTGCTATCTTAAATGTCAAATATGGTACAACTTTTGTAACTGTTAATATAGTGTAGAAGTGCTTAATTGAAAAACAAAACCATAAAAAAAACCGTTTCCGATGACGAACGAAACCTGTAATTAATTTTATCACTTTGTTTACAGGTACATAAATAACCCCAAGATAGTATTGTCGATTGCCACAATTTAAGTACATGTACAATAACTATGCCAATAGAAAATGTGTTAAAATGATTGAAGATTTCTATGGTAGTATTAACATGACCAATTATCGACGTATAAAACAATGTTTTTGTTTTTTTGTAAACCATTGAACATGATTGTATAAGAAATTAGTCATATCGTTAAATCACGTGACGACTTAGACACCACTTCTGATAGCAGAAAATCTTAACCTGATAGACCTATCAGCAATGTCCCTCGCATAAACAATTCTGGAAACAATTATTTTTCTTTCAAAATAATAAAAATAATAAAAAAAGGGGGATGCCTAGAAAATTAGTGAAATCCTGCATTAACCAACCTGCGTATTTCTCACTTATACATGTTCCAGAGTAATCATATTAATAATTAAATGTTATAATCTAATTATGCAAACTTAAAGACAATTTATTTCTTACAAAAATGTAATGGCAATTAAAGTGGAAAAAGTGTGTAACTTGCTCAAAAAAGTGTCTGCCAAGGGCAATATTAATTTAAATATACAACATTTCTATATAATTATAATTTTGGAAAAGAATTTTCGTAAAAGAGAGGCAGAAGATACCAAAGGCCTTTTCAATCCCATAAGTCAAGGACAAATCGACAACGCCATGACAAAAGGAACTAGAGGCTTTTAAGATCCGGTGTCGCTCACCTAGGTCTATTTGCATCTTTAACAATGTGGACTAGAAAAGAATTCATCACAAAAATCACTTTTTTGCTTATATTGCTGATTATTTTTTCTGTGTACAGTTTTTATCTATCTTCTTTAGTTTTTGCCAAAACCACAAAAAAGGGTATAAAAATTGTCATTTAAGGGCAATTACTCCTATAAAGAGTCTACTAGAGATTTCGGCAAAATTTGATTTATTTGTAGATCTTGTCTTGCTGATCATTCTTAGACAATTTCAAGTGTCTATCTATCTTTTATAGTTATCAAGATAATAGGCAAACAATGAAATGTCGGTAAAAATCGTTATTAAAGAGCAATAACTCCAATCAGGAGTCTACTAACGATTTAGGTTATTGTCAGGATTAGAGTTTCTGTGTGTTTGCTTTGAATTGGTCTTGTACCAACGGGGTCTACACCTTGACGAAAGCTATTAAAATGTCTGTCCAAAATTGCAATAAAATATTGAAATAAAAATAATTTGCTTTAAACTTAGAACTTTTCTACTTTTTACTGAAATTAAGAATTTCACAAAAATAATAAAATCTGATCAAAATGGTACCATGACATTATGATGACTAAAGTCTTATTTGTAGATCTAGTCTTACTGTTCATTTTTGCTATTTAAATTGGCCAATTATCTATAATATTTTACAAGATAAGAGGCAGAACACTACAATTGGGTGAAAATCGTAATTAAAAACCAATAACTCTAATAAGGAGTGAACTAAAGACTTTTCCTAGTATACATATTTGTAGATCTTGTCTTTTTTTGCTGATCATTTTTGCTTATTTAAGTTTCGATCTATCTATTAGAGGTTTTCCTGTATGTAAATGGTAAAAAATGGTCATTAAAGGGCAATAACTCAAATAAGGGAATGTCAGACGATTTCAGCAATGTTATCTTATTTGTAGATCTTGTCTTGCCGATCACTTTTGCTTTTTAAGTTTCTATCTATCTTTTATAATTTTTCAGATATGAGGCAAAAACATAAAAAAAATCTTCATTTATTCATAGGGCAATAATTCCAATAAGGATTCGTCTGACGATTTGAATAATATATACTTATTTGTAGAGCTTGTCTTGTTGGTCATGTTTGCCATTTAAAGTTTCTCTCTCACTATTATCATTTTCAAGAAATTGGCTAAAAATGAAAAAAAAGGTAAAATTCGTCATTCAAGGGCATCAACTCTTATAAGAAGTCGTCTGACAGTTTTGATGTAAATAGACAATGGGTAGATCTCATCAATCTGAACATTTCTACTCTTCTCAGATTTTCTCTATGGATAGCGGTTTTCAAGATAATAGACAAAACTTGCATTTTACCCCCTATGTACTATTTTTAGCCATGTCGGCCATGTTGGTTGGCAGGCGGGGTCATTGGACATCATATTTTAAATGAGATATCCTAATCATGATTTTGGCCAAGTTTGGTTAATTTGGCTCAGTAGTTTCAAAGGAGAAGATTTTTGTAAAAGTTGACGATGACGACGACGACGACGACGGGCGACGGACGACGGACGCTAAGTTATGAGAAAAGCTCACTTGGCCCTGTGGACCAGATGAGCTAAACACGACGGGGAAAGAAAAGTAGCAACATTCTACAAAACACAAGATAGAAAACTAAAGACTGAGCAACACGAACCCCACCAAGTCCAGTTGCACAAGAGTTTACCAATGTCCAAGGTCGTGGATTGAGCGCCCTTAAGCATACCGAATCCCACCTCATTTCGGAAATGCCTGTCCTAAGTCAGGAGCTTGTAAATAAGTGGTTGTCGTTAAAATTTGTCTGGCATATTTTTTTCCGTTTATTGTTTTAACTTAAGTCAAGTCATTGAATTGTGGATTTATTTTCAAGGGTACTAGTTTTCGTGGATGTAAGGAACAGTGTATTTATGTCGGTATTTGATTTCATGGATTTACCAAAGTCTACATAGAGGACTAAATGTATACTTTGTTGAACATTAAATTCGTGGTTTACCTATATCAACGTTTGTTTTTAGGATAAACCATGTAGGTAGTTTTCTCGTTTAAATTGTTTCACATTTTGTCATACCGGTGCCTTTTAACAGAATTCGTTTTGTTCATTGATGAAGTCCATTTTTACCTTTGAACAATATTGTATAATTTCAGTAATTTAAAAAAAAAATTGTAATGAAATTCCATTTAAATCTCATTGCATACAAACAGCGTTAAGCATGCGTAGTCACACCTGATTGAATTTCTGGTCACACAGTCATATGGGATTTTAGTTCATGACATAATAAATTCAATTAAACTTATTGACTAAAGGGAAATATTTTAAATTTATGAAATAGAATGAATATTCTGAGAATAATTTTCATAATTTCCATGGATGTTAAAAGTTTTGCATAAAGAATTATTCAACGTTAAGTGAATATTTTGATTTCATGTAAATGTGCATGAAGACTTCATGTACTGTAATGTTTTCATTAAAACCTGGTGTAGGTAGCGATACCGAATTTGATTAACAGAAAAAACGAATGATATTGAAAAATTGATACATGGAAGTAATTTCCAATTACATGTATGTATTATAGTTCTTCTCGTGGTTATATTATATGGAGTCAAATTCAAGATTCCGGAAATGAAAGTAAACGATTCCGAAATAGATAGAGGTGAACTAGAATTTGTTTACATGTACAATACAACACCTATTAGCACGCAACTGTTCAATGAAGGGTGGTTGGACGATAATACTTTTGTTGTACGTCACATTATGTCATACAATTGATAATTATCCGTATTTATTACATATGATATAACTTGTCAATCAATGATAATTAATAAGTATTAAACAAAACTACATGTACAACAAACTATAGAAGGATACACATCGGAATACACCAAAGTCTGGAATGTCTGTGTTGAAATATTCTGTTGTTTGTGCAATCATATTTGTTCTTGGATTTGAGTTAACTATGGCTGCGTTTATTCCAGACAAGGTAGTATTAAACATTTTTTTTTCGTATTTTGATCAACCTATTATTTGATGGAAAAGTTTAAGCAATGAAATACGGGGGATCCCCAGACATTATACTTTTTTTAACAAGAATTATACATAAAGTATAAAGATACATATCTGTAATTTTATTCGTTTGATTAACTGTAATAAATCAAAGTAAATCAAAGTATGAACATATCGGGCCTCCCAATCCGAAATCCGCGGAGGGATCCGAATGCCGAGGAGCAAGTAAACACGAGACCAGAAACGGTGGGGAAGTAAATTTTTTTCCGGTTTGCCATATCCTGTATAAAAGATAAAAGAGCACAATGATCTTCATTTTACTTCCCCATCGTTTGCGGTCTCGTTTAGGTGACAGACCACCTATTCAAAATCCCCATTTTTTCTTCTTCCATCGTCACAGCTTTCTAAAGATTTCACCTTAAGTTTAAATTCATAGAAACCAGGCACATATCCTGAATTGTACATGTATCACCATTTACATGCCAATTTTCAACCAATGTTTTAAGTCCTGTAATGAAACACCACCGTTCGGCAACTGCTACTAAAATTAACCCCTGGTTTTCTGGAAATCGTAAATAAATATTTTATGGAGCGTATTAATCTTCAATTTTTAATTCAAATTCATAGACAAGTGAATTTTGGCTCAAAATGGGTCTAAATATATTTCTCTTTCACCAAAAGTTTCATTTCTGCAAATTTGTTGGTTATATTTTAGTAAACAATGACATCAAAAGTACTATTTTTGTCAGGTAAGGGCTACTTTTACATTGAAGTGGGTGAAGTAGTGGTCTGACATCTGTTATTGCTCCTCGTCATTCGGATCTCCTTGTCGTATTTCGGATCGGGATACCTGGTGTGATGAAATAGTACTACAATAAACATCGCAAGATGGTTGCAAATGTCAGTCCTTAATTGGCAGATGGCAAACTGGATCGCATAAACTCGCTACATGTCCCTTTCTTGTGGAATTCTTCTATATCAATAAATAATCAATTAACAAACTGATGTTTATTGAAAAAGAGGCGGAAGATACCAAGGGGACATTTCAAACTCTTACATATAAGTCGAAGAGAAACTTAAAACTCATGGCCAAAAAAACCGGAAGACGCCGAAAAGACAAACAAGTCTTAAACAGCCATAATACTGATTGTCCTCGGATACAAATACATGTAACTGTTGGAGGCAGGGGTTAAAGTTATTGTATTATGGCTCTGAAAAACTCAAAAGTCTGTATTGTTATAATTAACAGAAAATCGGTGCAGAGTTTAAATAGCAAAAAAAATTAAACTTTTTAAAACAATCAACTGTAATTTGTTGACGGTTTTTATCATTTCTTGGATTTAATTCTGTATATAAATTTTCTTGACATTAAATTTGTCTTTTTGTCGCTATTTTTTATCTTCTTGTCGCTGATTAGTAAGGTCGGTTTAGGAGAAGAAGCAGATACATGCATATAGAACGTAGAATAAGGACGTTAGAAAATAGTTCTCAGCACGAGAACAAGGTGCAAGCATGTCTATGCTGTTATTGTTTTATATCCGATGTTATAATATGAATTTCAATGATGTTTTTAGACTGATTGTATCAGTAAGACTTGGACAAGGAGAACATCCTGATCAATCAGAAAACTAGAAACAAATTTCGAACACCAAAGAGCGGACCAAAAGCAATCACTTATACTCATGTTATTCACATACAAGCAATAGAAAAAGTAACTTAAAGGGCCTATCAGAAATCGTAACTTTTAAAGGGTGACTAAACTTTTGATCGCTCTTAAAGTCATATGAAACTAGTTTCTTGTAATTTTAATGTTATCGAATTTATTTAACCAATGCATGCATATATATACGAAACTTAAGTCCTGTATGCACGTTTTTTTTTAAATATTTATTACTAAGCTTTAGCGTATTATTGACAAATGTACTGAATGGCCCTAAAATGAACTATACATTACCATCAGACAATGCTGAATGACAGGAAAGACAACAGATATTTATGAAATAAACAGTAGCATTTATTAACTAATGAAAAATAATTTTTACATATTTTCATACAATTTTTAATATAATCAAATCAAAATTGTACATCAACTATTTTATAAATTTATAACAGTTTACAACCAAACAGAATTCATTTTAACATACACATTACTGTTTATTTATAATTTGAATCCCATGGGATTTTTATTTTGTCACATGGGATTTTATTTGTCCCATGGGATTTTATTTGTCCCATGGGATTTTTTCTGTCACATGGGATAAATTAATGAATCCCATGTTATTCTACACATTTTGGTTATTTACATGACCCCGTATCTTTAAGAAAGGGCGGCGGCGGATTTGCAAATGAGTGTTTTGCAAATTTAAAGTGTCTTGTGTTAATATTTCATTCAGTGATTGTTGATCGCAAGCTAATTAACTTTCGAGTTTGTTGCCGAAGTTTACCGGATCGTGACTTTGATAAACAATCAACACAGAGCACGTGACAAATAAGTGAATTGAACGAGCTTTTTATATTTTCCATGCCTTCCCATTTTGTTAATTAAACTTTTCCTTAACAGTTGTTAAATGGCTTGTTTTATAAATTTTTTTTTTTCAAAAGAATCAGTTATTACTATTTACCTTCCAGTACACGTTTGTTTACATTCTGTTATCACGGTTTTTCCCTTGCACTTGCGCTGTGCGTTGGCCGAGTTTCTAACGAGAGGTCTTGTAGTTATGGTCACTGCATACGGGGAAATATCGGCGAATTAGTGTACGGGAAGACAATAATTCAATAGCAGTACAGTTATGAAGATTTTGATAGTACATAGGACTTTCTTTTACAGGACAGCTTGGGTACATTTATTTCACTTATCTTATAGTAAAACTTAGCCGTTCAAGTATATAAAACATATTCAACTTTTTTTTAATTTGAAGTTTCATATGACTTTAAAATAAATGTACATCATAAATGAAAAATATTTATTTAATTATTTTAATTCAATTTCAGGATTTTCTTCAAATGCAAGATCATCATATGTCAAACTACAAGAATATATTCGAACAATATACCAGACTTGCTGACGGACCAGACAACAATGTATTAAGAGTATATGTTCGTCCCAATACTGATTTCCCGAATACTCAGATAGTATACAGGAACGAGCGGAACGGTAGACTGAACTCTGAATCATTTGGAGATCAGAGGTTACCGAGAAATAGATGGCCTTCACATGATGATACTGACAGTTTAATAAAAAATCATGATCATAATATTATCAAGAAAAAGAAAGGAACAGAGCGTAGAGAAAATACAATTCAAACATTCGTTTCGGAAATGGAAAAGAATTTCAAGAAAAGTTCTAAGTCAATTTTTTCCAGGGCTAAGGACTTATTTTCTGATCAAACTACTGAAAAACGTGTATACGGAATCAAAGATTTTGTGTATGACTTTTTAAAGATTGTTTCATATTAATCTGTTATTTCAGATGTATATGTAATTTATTTATAGTTTTAAATAAAATTATAATACTTAAAATCTTCAATTATTATATCTATACATCTATCCGGGTGCGGGATTTTCTCGCTGTGTTGAAGACCCATGTGTGGCCTTCGGCTGTTTTCTGCCCTTTGGTCGGGTTGTTGTCTCTTTGACATATTCCCCATTTCCATTCTCAATTTTATGTATATTACTTTCCTCTATAAAAGTCAGGATACGTGATACGATTGCCAATGAGACAACTACATGTACCCACCAGAAACCAAAGGACGAGGGTCTATCCCAAGAAAAGATTACTTTAGCTGTATTTGGCAAAACCTTTCGGGGTCCTCAATGAACTTCAACTTCGTACTTTTTTTGGCCTGTTTAACTTTTTTTATTCGATCGTCACTGGTGAGTCTTTTGTATAAAAACGCGCGTCTGGCGTACACAATTTTAGTCCTGTTATCTATGATGAATTTATGTACACATCTATAAGGCATTCATTGGCATTCAACAACGAGCGAAACCCATGCTGTATAGTAAAGTTAAAAGGTCCCAGAATTACAAAACGTAAAACAAATCAAAAGAGAAAACCCAACGCCTGATAAAATAATAAACCCAAAACAAATATGGCAGACAGAAACCAACGATAACCACTAAAAAAGGTGCACCTGACTTGGTACAGTAACAAAAAGACAGAAACCAACGATAACCACCGAAAAAGGTGCACCTGACTTGGTACAGTTACAAAAATAATGTTGCGAGGTGAAACATGTCTTTTATCCAGAGTTAAAGTAATAAAAAGGGAAAACGAACTCAATCTTAGCAGTACTTGTTCTTTTATTGTTATAATTAATTCCCTATTCAGATGTTTTATATGAATGAAATAACATCTTTTTGTATACGTCAATGGGACATCAAAAAGAAAAAGCGCAAGACATCGAGAGGTCAACATAATTTATAGTCTTCAAAAAAGAAAAAAAAAGGCGGCAAATACTAAATGGAGAATCAAAAATAGATAGACAAAAAGACAACAAAAAGACAAAGACACAACCACCAATCTACAAAACTACTAATTAGCAATCTAAACCCAACCAAAAACCATGTGTGAATACTATGAAATCCAAATCGGGAAATTCAAAAGAGAAAAAGAAATCACGCATTAACGACAAAAACAATGCGAAGTCTTAATACTGAAAAACCTCTTTGTGAGACGAAATTTCAATGCTAGTAGTCAGTTTAGAAATAAGAATATATTATTCTAAAAGTTCGTTCTAGGTACTTAGTTGCGAAGACGTTTGCAAAGTTCACCCGTCCAGATCCTTGCATTTCCGTGTAATAAATCTTCTTTTTTTTCAATTAATTTTACAAATCCAATCTTTTCAATACGGAAACTTGTGTTATTAGAATTGTCTTCCTTTGCCCATTCGATCGATTTGCAAATAACTAATAAAATAAAGGTGTGATGATAAACTGTCGGTTTTTCTTTCTTTTTAAGACAGAGCTTTTTATTAACCTGATACCTTCTATCAACATACTGTTTTTGTAAATTTCAGTTGCTCTGTGCTTTAATACCGAAAAATAAGTTAAAGATTTTCTTTAAAGTAAAATGATCGGCAGTGTTTGCATTTTTCAAGAGAATAAATTATAATTTTATCACAAGTATTGATTTTTTCCATTTTTTAATACATATATCGTTCTCTCTATCGTATAATTGTTCTCCTTCATTGGTGAAAAATTGTTTTTTGGGGGTTTTCTGTAGACAAAAATATGATGATTTCTACCCACTTGAACCGAAATCGGAAAAAAGTCGTTTTGTGACAAAAACGGGCGTATGACATTTGCGCCGATTTTAAGAAGTTTCGATCTTTCATTTGCGCCGATTTGATTCTTTCACTTGCGCCGATTAAGCACAGGTAAATTACAGGTGAATGTTATTTTTTAGTTATCAATATTAAAACCTCTTCCATTAGCCAGTTGTACATATGTTATAAATTGTCAATTATAACATGTATATAACTGTTTTCCCCTGCAAACAGATTGTTGTCGTTTTCATCTGGCACATAAACTGGTGGGGGAAAATCCAGTCTGTTGGTTTAAGTATACATTTTTAAACAGAGTATAAAGACAAATCAAGTGACACTGGTAAATGGCTATCTCAATTTTTGGGCTATCATTCATCCCCCAGATGAAATCGAGGACTGCTTCACGTTTGACATTAGGTCTGAAGCTCCTTCTGATGACAGATGTCATGCATTCTTAGACTATACGTAGTATTAAAGTATTTATATATGCTTAACTTCACGTTATTCACCTTATTTCTTGGCAGCTACACCCGTTGAAAATTGTAAGAGGACAAATAACAGTCCTGAATCGTTTCATTCGCATAAATTGACTTCTATTGCTTGAAATCCTTATTTCACCTCCCCGTGGTGAGCAGGGGACAACAGCTATATACATGTTATAATTGTCAACAGAAGAGATTTATAATGATAGATAAGAAATAAGAAATAACATTCAATTGTAATCCACCTGTACACAATCGGCGCAAATGAAATAAAAATCGGCGCAAATGAATTAACAAATCGGCGCAAATGAAATGCAAATCGGCGCAAATGCAAAACGCCGGACAAAAACAAAATCTGAATTGGAATTTTCAGAATGTTCTTACTATAGGTTTGTGTACGATTCAACAATTTTTTTGCATGAAAAAGCTCACATTGCAAACTTGAATTTTTCAATTAATCAAGGGGGTACACAACACTTTGACTAACATAGATTTTGTTCATTTAATTTTCATAAAATTTTGACAAATTTACTTTGACCTGATGACAAAAATTTGAACAACACAATTTACAGGAATAATTTCGTTGGATATATAGCAGATTGACAAACACTAATTTTGATCATTGAGAGGCTTTGATTTCTCATTATTGATAGTATATAATTAAAACGTTGATTTTTAAAGAGTTAACTCCCTTAGGTGTTCTGTTTTAATCTGTAACAGCATCATTACTACTATAAGATTATTCAAGAAAATATTTATTATGATTGGGTATGATATATGTTTTTTGTTCGCAACATAAATCGTTAGGTTTCTCATTTGAATTGTTTTACATTTGACATTTCGGGTTCTAGTATAAATGTAGCTTGCTTTGCGGTATGAGTTCTTCTCATTGTTGAAGGCTGTACGGTGAATATAGTTGCTTACTTCTGTGTCATTTGGTCTTTAGTAGAGCGTTGTCTCATTGAAAATCATACCACATCATCTTATTTTCAAGTTATATTGCTATCTCCTTGACGTTTACTCCACATATTTTCTCCGGTATAATCTATCGAAGGTCTTTAATAAACACCAAACAATGGTCGTTAAATTCATGACTAGTACATTCAATCTACTGAAACACGCAAACGTTCACGTTTTTTTTTTCAACAAGCCACCTCAACACAGAAGTGACTAACTTGATTTAAATGACCATTAACATTTTTAGAGGTAGTAAGATAAAATAAATCTCAAAATATTATAGTGTTCTCATTGTATATTCAAATAACGCCAAGGGATGTTTGAATGGCAGAGGCAGATTTAGGGGGAAAAGGAGTCCGACCCCCCCTTCAGTAGCTACATATATGATAAATGCAAAGACTGTTTACAAGTCTTACTCCTAAAGTTGCCTTTGTTTGATCCTGCCACCTATCAAATAAACCATCATCATGGCATCACACTCTTTTATTGTTTATCCATAAATTTTGATGTTTATATACCTACATAGGCTTATGATATTTACAGCTTTAAATAGAACACGTTACACGTTACATGCATATGACGTTTAAGTCTAGTACGAAAGAAAAGAAAATCAATGTGATACCGTCAAACTAAATTTTTTGTTTGAAAGAACACAAAAACATATTATGTTTGATTTGAAAGGCAAAATGCTTAACGACATATTTCATGTAAATCCTATGGGACAAATATCTTCACACGATCTGTTGTAAAAGTACATTTCACCATATTGGCATACATTGTAAAGATATTAACATCACTTTTCGTCGAGTGAAACACTGATGTAGCTTTAATGCATGCATTATAAAGTTCATTGCAGAAAGACAATTAAACAAATTTTAACAAATGCTTTTGCGCAGTATGGTATCGATTGTTTTTGTTTTGCTTTTTGTTTTGCTTTTATTATAGCTGGAGCTATTGGTTTCGTAACTTTTTCTTTGTCATACTAGAAACAATTTGTAAAATGTAGTTTGTAATATGTTATTTTTAAAATTTAATTTGTAAAACTATATGTAGCACACACATATATATATAATATATATTACATGTACATTGTATTCCTACCCAATATTTTGAATCATTATTGGGTCTTGGTGCGATTGAAATAAACCTGTCCGAGTGATTGATTTGTGTTTGATAAACGTCCAGTAATGCCAGTAATAAAGTTTTCTGGGGAATATGGAAAACAATGTACTTAACGTTTTTTTTTACAAGTCGTGACCAGTGGTCTGCATGGAAATGAATTTACAGCGAAAAAAATTAAAAAGTGTATATGTTTAGATCAATTTTTTACTTCTTCATTTAACTGTTTTATTTCATCAAATGTGAGAAACATTAAAATACATTCGTGTTTTGACTTAAAATCATACCTATATTTTTGTAGTTTCATTTAAACAAATAATGTAACTGTACATATATATTATGGGTTTAAAGCTGACTATGCGGTATGGGTTTTACTCATTGAGGAAGGCCGTATGGTGACCTATGGTTGTTAACTTCTATTTAATCTGGTCTCTGGTGGAGAGTTGTCTCATTGTCAATTACGTCACATCTTCTTATTTTTATATTAACTCACCTGGACAATACTGACTTCGATCTATGAACAAAAAGTTATGAAAGAGGGTACTTGACCATAACTTATGATTGGAGCAGTAAAAATTTCTTTTTTGTCGTTAAATCATTTGTCATCATAATTTACTTGGCAATGGATTGATTGATCGTTGTTTGCTTAATGCTTAGTGGCAAATATTTCATGCATGTTCTGGACGATATAATA